GATGGAGAGCTCGTGTTAATTGAATTGAAGACGAATTGGGAAATTTAATAGATTGAAAGGGTATTTGAGTCTTTTGATGATAGGGATATTTTGGACCTTTTATACCATTTTTTTATTCTATTTTTTAATGGAGGCCATTCTAACAACAAATATTGAGAAAATCCTCTTTGTCCAAATACATTGTTTGACTAGGCTCTTTGACAAAGAGTCCCAAAATAATAAGCATTTAGTAAGGAAGAAAAATTAATAAAGATATGAGAGAGTCCACCCTATAAATTTATGTTTAGTAACATATTTAAAATCAATAATTAATTTTAATAAGATATTTTATAAGATTCACAATATTTTAACTGTACATTTCATTAATTTTTATCAAATCTATTAAAAATCTAATTTTAATTCCCTTCGAACAGGAGCTTAATATATTTTATATGTTAAAGTTTATGTTAGTGTGTCTGGATGAGGAATTTATATATCAGCTTTGCGTTAATTTCGAAGAGTGTAGTCTTTGAAATTTACAAAATAAGTACTCGGTCGATTTTCATAAGATGGTCGAGCTAGGTGGTCAACTACCATGCAAACTTCGATGCTTTTAATAGATTCGTATTAACACATTTATATTTAAATTGTTGTACGTGACAACACTTGTCAAATGTACCTTCGAATTTTCAAATCGATCCATTTTTCTTTTTTAGGAGTTTGTGATTGGCTTTAGAACAACATTAATAAAAGGTAAACTACGACTATTGTCTTCAATTTAAATTTGATCCTTGTTAAACAATTTTTTGGCAACAATCCTAATCGCAATGAAATTGATAAATTGTTCTCGAATTTTAAAAGGGCCTTTTCAATAGTCAAAATTAAAACTCGTCCACCTCCAACATCTCTTGGTTTATAAACATGAAATTACATGGTAACATGAAATATCTAATACATATGCATTAAAAAAATATATTCTTCTCCAATTCATTGTCTTCTTCGCCGAATCATCTAAATAAGAAGATAACAATTCTATGACTTGCATAAAGAACCGTCTTATAAACCTTAATCGAAAAAGAAATAAGATGAACAAAGAATACAAATTCTGCGACCTATATCTACTCACAACTACAATTTTTCAACATAAAGCAAGAGATCATAAGGTTCCCTCAACACATGGGCGGACGCAGAACTTAAAAGTTAGGGGACACAATCGAATTTGCAAAAAAGTTGAGAGAAATTTTACAATCGATAATTTACGTCCAAAAAAATCATACCCCACGTAATTTTACATGGGACATGACTTTTTCGGATGTAAAATTTTGAAAATTTTTGATGTCATATTCCATATAAAACTTCTTAATAAAATGATGAAAATTACATTAAAAAATTTGTATAACAAAAATAATAAATGTTAATGAAATAATTGAATTTAAAAAAAAATGCGAGTTAGACGTCTTTATTTAAGACTCACATTTAACGTATTTTTAATTATTTTCGATATATATTTGAACTATTCGATATGCCAATAACGTAGTTCTCGAAATAAACTTTGAGGAGTGATG